GCGACTCGATGGCACATAACAACAGCAACAATAACAAGAGCTTTATTGGAGCTCTGGTGATTGAAAGGCAAGAAGCTGTGCTCCAATTTGAAGGCATTCTGCTCAAGGCCACCAGGGGCTCCACAGAAAGATGGACAATCTCCTCCTGTGTGATTAACTGCCTCTGAAACTCTCCTGGAGGGTAAGTTATGGGTCAGTTCCAACTCTATGGTACATAACAACAAAGCTAAAAAATACTCTTCTTGTTGTTGTGTACCATAGAGTCAAAATCAACCCACAGCTAAACCTCTAGCAGGTCTTCAGAGCTATAAAAAAAAAAATCACACAAGAGTTGACTGCCCATTTTTTCCCCGCAAAACAGCCAGTTGGTTTGAACTTGCATGTCTTTGGGAGTGGAGCGCTGCTTCTTACCACTAGGCCACCAGAAACCCGATTACCAGGTGCTGCTCTGCGGAAGAAGGATGGGTCATCTTCACTTGTGCTATTTACTGTCTCTGAAAACCTCCTGAAGGGGTCAGCTATGGGTTGGTTCTATCTTGATGGTAGATAACAAGAAAAGATACAGAAGAAGGCTCAATACCTTCGAGATGCGGTTCTGGAAAAGAGTCTCGAACATACCATGGACTGCCAAGAAAACATGTCTGTCTTGGAGAGGGTGAAACCAAGTCTCTCCTTGGAGGCTAGGATTTGGAAGCTCTGTCTCTTACTTACTATGGGCATGTGACCATGAAGGATCAGACCTTGGAGAAGAATATCATGCTTGGAAGAATGGAGAGACATCACAGGAGAGGAAGTCCCCGGATGAGATGGATTGACACAGTAACTGGGGAGATGGGGTTAGGTGTGTTGAAATCAGTTAAGACTGGCTCAGGACAGGGCAGGCTTCAGAACTGCTGTACATAGGGTCACTAGGGGTTGCAGGCAACTCGATGGCACATAACAACAGAACACAGTAATCAACGGAAGAGTTTCTTACACTCCTGCTACAAGCTCTGTGTCAGGCCAGATTCCATCTTTTTGGTTTTTTCTTAAATAAAATTTTAATTTTGTACTGGTGTACTTACAAACTTGGTATACCTTGTTTTTCACACCCGATCTTTCCCATTTACTTTTCCCACCCCTCTTTCTACCTGTCAAACTGTTTGACGCTATGACTGCCCCCCTTCCCATCCTCACCCCTCTGATCCTACCTTTCCCCCTTGTATTCTCATACACATTTTACTAGGTATCTTTCTACAATAATGGTTTTATACAGTGTTTGTCTTTATGGGACTGAGTCAGCATAATGCTCTCCAGTCCCTCCCAAGTTAGGTTGTGATTTTCAAAATCATTGCTCCTGCATGCGACATAGTATTCTATCATGTGAATGTACCATAACTTCTCAATCCATTCTAATGTGGTTGGACATGTGCGCTGTTTCCATATTCCTGCAATGGTGAAAAAGGCTGCTATGAACATTGGTATACAAGTCTCCATTTGTGCCTCAGTTCTCATTTTTTTTGGAGTATATTCCAAGCAATGGAAGAGCTAAGTCATACAGAATTTCTACGTTCCACTTTTTGAGGATATGCCAAACTGTCTTCCAGAGTGGTTGTACCATTTTACAATCCCACCAACAGTGTATAAGAGTTCCTATCATGCCACATCCTCTCCAACATTTATTACTTGCTGTCCTGTTAAACTTTGGTACTGCTACTGGGGTGAGATGGTATCTCACTGTGGGTTTGATTTGCATCTCTTATTGTCAATGATTTAGAGCATTTCTTCATGTCTGTTGGCCATCTGAGTGTCTTCCTCTGTGAAATTTATTTACACGTGTTTTGCCCATTTTATAACCGTGTTATCAGTCTTTTTCTTGTGGAGGCCTGTAGGATTCTGTAAACTTTTGATATGAGATCCTCGTCTGAAATGGTACTACTGCCAAATGGTTTTTCCCAGTCCATACATTTTCTTTTCACTCTTTTGAAAAACAATCTCTGTGCATCTTCTTATTTTTATAATCTCCTTAAAAATTTTTTTCCACTTTCCAAATCCCTTATACCTTCCTATAGGCAAACAAGTATGTTTTAAGGTGCAAACAACTACTCTCTCCTTTTTCTGCGACCACAAAGATACCTAATTACACATGGACACAGTGGAATCATAGCCCCTCGGGTTACTCTCGTTTACGAGCTCTTATTGCTTGTGTAAGATTCTGGACACATCATGTTATATCTGCCTTGTAGGGTGTCACAGAAAAGCCCATCAGTGTGTATCATAAAATGCTGGGTGAGTAAAAGTCATAGACAGAGCATACGTATATGAGGGCAAAGTCCGGGGAAACGGGAGAGAGAGAATACCTATTAAAGTACATGAACAGGAAAACTGGTCCCAGGAGAGAATGCATATTGGCTCTGACTATTGCTGTGTGCTGTCGAGTCAGAACCGACCCATAGCTGGTCCTCCAGCGGGTTTTCAGAGGCAGCAGACTGCAGGGCAGGAGACCACCCATTCTGTGGAGCAGCTGGTGCCCTTGTGTGGACAGGGACGCTCCTTACCCCTAATACTGGGCCTCCCGATAGAATGGCAGAAGCTTTCCCACCCCGCTTCCACTCCAGCACGGAAGCTGTAATGCAACAACCATGTGGAGAATCCGGCTTCGCATGGTTTCCACCTCAGGTGGAAGAGAGAGCACTGTGAATGCATGGCCAGGTTGACCATTAGGACACTCAGCTGGGAGTCCCGGCAGCAGCCGGCATGCAACAGGCGTCATGGAGAACTGTCACAGGGCATGCTTCCTCTAAATAAAGACATTTCCCCCAAAACAGTACTCAAGGGTCACCGCCTCGTAAGAGAAACAACCAGAAATTACAAGTAAGTCACACTGGAACCTCAGATTACTGAGCATGGCATTTCCAAGGATTCTGTGAGTCTAACAGATGATAACATCACACTATTCACCGAGAACACAGATGAAGAGTTAGAGAAGAATTCATAAAACAAAAGGCAACGTACCATTATGTGTTCAAGTAGAGAATCTATTGCAACTATGTTATCAAAATACGTTCTGAAAAGAAAAAGAAAAATATGAAACCTGTAAGTAAGTGTCATGACATCACAATACACATTAGGCTTTCAATGCGCTACACACACCCTCTCAGGAAGCCCTCAGCTCATCCCTGACCCTGACTCGGTGACTTCAGCTGTGCCCAGAGCAGAAGTGCACACACAGCTGCTTTCTCAGACGTGGACGGCTGGCTGGTGCTTTCAAGGGGCGTCCGGGAGTACTCTGGCCTCTAACTGGCACCACTCACATCCACCCTCTCCCCCTCGCCTTCTCTACACACTTGTTCGATCGTAGAATCATTCACTAACATGTTTTTGACAGAAATTAAACTTCACACTATAAGATATTCAACTCCAGACAGCTCAATAAATCGTTATATTGGTTAAGACTAAGTAGAACACTTGTATCATTTAACAAAAGCTAAGAAGGGACAAAATTAAGATAATCATATTTAAGATTTTAATTGGTATCTTGGGTGTCAAGATACCAAATGTCTGAATTTTCTAAATTATCACTGACATAAGCAACAAGGAAAACGTGTTGAGAAACAGCGTCATTCATTTGAGAAGAGCTATCAGAATACAAGTAATGCTAAAGATGTAATCATTCTGCACAAACAAAATGCATATTCACTTTTATAACTGGCAAATAATTGTACTGGAGGTGCCTCGCGTATGTCGCAAACTGTTCATGTGATACAGTAACCCCGCACGCTGACCTAGGAAACGCGCCGGGCACCTTCCTGCTGGCTCTAGAGGGTAGGCAGTGACTTCAGCTCCGGTCCACACAGAGTCCTCAGCCTAGAGCCTGTATGGGGACAGCTCTTACTAGTCCTTTAATGCAGGGCTTTAAACAGGGTCTAACTTGGCCAATGAAGGAGACAGGGCAGAGTGGAAATTCTACAGTTTAGGTTAGTCTGGGTAACCGGAAAGGCCAGTCTGGAATGACACTATCAGGAGTGCAGTGACCCCTCTCGGAGCCTGAAGCGGGGCTGTTGAGAGTGAGGGGTCACCTCTGAGCAGGGCACTGTCCTCTCCTCAGCCTTCCTGCTGTGTAAACGGAGCCTCCCTGGATCCAATGAACCACTCCTACTCCCATCACATCCTTCAGAGCTGCACTGTAAGCCGCTGGAGGGGCTGTTCCTGCACGAACGCACTGCTGCTGGGCTCATTTCAAGTCTCAGCCACCCTGAAGGACAGAGGAGCCCAGTCGAGGGGTCTCCAAGGCCAGAATCTCCACGCGAGCAAGCTGCCCCATCGTGTTCCCACAGAACGTGGGCGAGTTCAAACCACTGACGTTTCAACCAGCAGCCGAGCATTTTAACCACTATACCACCAGAGATCTACCCTGTATGACAGTCAAGGTAAATAAAAACCATATACACCAGTTCTGATCAACCTATACATTGTGAAAGACACAGCCAGGAACAGATTTGTTTGTAAGCAACCTGTCTGTATTCACACAGAGATAACTTACAGTAACAAACACACAATGATTTTCATTTAGAAGATAACTGCGTTCATTCTGAAATTCCGAAACTTGGAGCTCACTTTATTACACTGAACAATGAGGCAGGTACTACAGGAACGAAGGTAAGGGAGGTAAGGCGAATGAATTGTTTACTAGGACGAAAAAGACTTAAAGTTTCACATGAAGCCTTAATAGATGCAGGAAGACTGGCACGAGCAGGAGAAGATGCAATCTTCCCTTTTAATACCTTCAATGAGTATCACCAAATGTCCCAGAGACACTCTAATTCCATATGAGAGAAGACACTGTCTGAGGTGATGAAAACGTCCCTTTTCAGTCACACACTTCTTTAATTTTACGTATCAGAATGGGCCGTACCAGGAGGCTGTCAGTTCTAACGCAGTCATCACGGAGCTCACAATACTTGAGAGGTCAGGTACCATGTGCTGCCCGAGTGAAAAGGATCTCCGGGTTTCAAAGGTTACACTCTTGGCTTGAATTTAGCATCCAGACATTGCAGGGAAATGTGACAGTCTGATTCAACAAAGCGGTAGCATGGGAACGTCTGTGGGGCAGCTGTCCTCCACGAGAGTGTTGCTGTGGGGCAAAATCCAACCGATGGCAGTAAACCAGCTGGACAGGACCTCAGTCACCGCACTCTGTGGTTAGATGTGAGATGCTATCGAGTCAACCAGGACTCACGATAAACCCTGTAAGCCCAGCCCACTCTCCTGCATCATCGACATCTCTCATAAACCGACACCCAGCATGACAATCACCGTAGCAACACGTCTGGCTGATGGTGTTTCTGTCTCTGATCTTCCACCTTTCCAAGCACGATGACCTTTTTGAAGGTCTGGTGGCCCCTCCGATATATATTAAAAGCTGTGAGGCGAAGTTTCACCGTCCTTGTTCTCAGGGGCATCCTTGTGACACTCCGTCCCAGGCAGACTCCTTAGTCCTTCTGGTGATCCGTTAAGAGAGTCAATATTCTTCTCAACCAGCACAGCTCTTCTGCCATCCTTATTCACTGCTCAACTTTCACATCCATATGTAGCAACGGACAGGACCATGGCTTAGAACAGGCACAACTTACATCTTTTTTAGTTATGTCTTTTTAATTGTTACTTTATTGAGAGTTTACAGAAAAGCTGGATTTTCATTCATTCATTATTGTACATTTTCCTCCCTCCCTCTTCCTAAGTTCATTTTCTTTTTTTTCCTTTTAAATATGCATTCATTTTTGCCTAATTTCCTCCCTCTCACTCCCCCAGTCAACTTTGCTATGCATCTCTTACTCTGAACTCTGTCATACAACTAATGCCTAATCATACATTCCTTTTAAACCGTTATTTCCCTCATCTGTTCTAATGCAGTGTTCATGATCCACTCTTTTCATCATTTCCCTCCAACCCCATGTCAGTCCAGCTTTGTAACAGTGGTGTTAGGCATTATTGTCCTTTCGTGATTGAGATACTTCACTCAGCATAATGTCCTCCAGGTTCACCCATGTTGGGTAATGTTTTACAAGTTCATTGTTTTTCAGTGCTCTTTAGTATTTCAGTGTGTATATCATGGTTTTCCTGTCCATTCATTTGTTGATGGGCACTTAGGTTGCTTCCATCTGTGCTATTTTGAATAACGCAACAATAAATGTGGGTGAGCATACATCTGTCTGGGTGGCGGCTCTGGTTTCTTTAGGGAATATTCCCAGTAATGGAATTGCCAGGTCAAATGGTATTTCTATTTCCAACGTTTTGAGAGTGCCAGATCACATTCTGTAGTGGTTGCACATTTTAGACTCCCACCAGCAGTGAATAAGGGTTCCAATCTCTCCACAACTTTGCCAGCATTTGATGTTTGCAGCTCTGTCTAAGTCTGTTATTTTTGCTGGGGTGAGATGATGTCTAGGGCCTGGCTAACTTGCAAACCAAGATTAGCCCTGTACTGTAAAACCAGCAAGACTAATTCCATCTTGGCTAGAACATCTGCTTGGCAATAAACAACTCAAGGAAGCAGGATGTTAATGAATAAGAGTGACCAAAGGTCTCAGACCTTAGGGAATGTTGTCTACCGAAACTCTTTGTTTCTTAGAGCACTCAATAAGACATGCTGCAAAACATCTTTGTATTGTGCTGAGGTCTGTGAGAGTTAATGTTTGACCTGATAGTCAACATCTCTGACAGAAAGAGATAATGTGATTGCTACTGCAGACATGTTTCTAAAACCTATATATGCTTTTCTAAAATTAGTAAATTCACTATTCGTCATCAGTGATAGTCTCTCTGTGTCTTCATTTCATCCTCATCTGTTCTCCTGGTGGAACTGTTTCTATATAACAGGCTGGACCCCATTAGGATGATATCTCATAATTAGTTTTATTTGCATCTCTCTGAGAGCTAGAGATTTTGAACATTTCTTTGTTTGTCACCTTAGTCTTTAAACTGACATCCTTGTTCTTTAGCACTCTGGAGAGGTCTCTGACAGCAGATTTTCCCAATTCATTGTTTCTTTTGATTTCTTGACTCCTGTTCTCATGACTGTTTATTGTGCCTCCAAGTGAAATAAAATCTTTGACAACTTCAATCTTTACTCCATCTATTGTGACGTTGACTATGATGTGTAAGATATACACAAGATCCCCTTGGAGTAAATGAAAGCCATGGGAGTTTAGTCTTTTAAGTTGTACAACTGCCCTAACTTCCAGGTTCAGAAAGCATTCCATGTCAAATTTTAGGAAATGGAACATGTTCTGTGAAAATAAAAGTGTTAACAACAATACAATTAAAATCAATAGTGTTTGCAAAAATATCATGGAAGGCTTTTTACTAAACAATATGTGAGAATATCCCTCTCTTTACTGCTTCCATTTTTCTCCTGAAAAAATTATAAATACCTACCACCTTTAATATGCTCTAAAGAAGGTACTCTAATGCCCTGGTGAGTAAGGACTGCACTGCCAACCCAAAGGTAAATGGTTCATATCCACCAGCTGCTTCATGGGAGACCGATGGGAAATCTCTTCCTATGCGATTTACTCCCTCTGAAAACCAGCTAGTTGTTGTTGGAAGGTGCTACTGAGTCGAGTATGACCCTGTGAAGAGGAGATCTGAGCCCCGTCCTGTCCTGTGCCGTCCTCACAACCGTTGACACACTCGAGCCCATTGTTCCAGTCACTGTGTTGATCACCTTGTTAAGGGTCTTCCTCTCCTTCACCATCCCTCCACCTTTCCAAGCATGATGTCTCTCTCTAAGGAATAGCTGCTCCTAGTAACAGGCCCAAAATATGTGAGACAGAGTTTTATCATCTTTCCCTCCAAGGAACACTCTGGTTACACCTTCTCCAGGAATATCTGTTTGTTCTTTTTGCAGTTCACTGCATTTTCATTTCTCTTCTCCAACACCACAGTTCAGAGGCATCAATTCTTCTGTCATCCTTATTAATCATCCCACTCTCAGATGCACAGCAAGTGCAAAAGACCATGGCCTGAACCAGAAGTACCTTAGTCCTCAAACTGACATAATTGCTCCTCAATACTTTGGAGAGGTCCCTGACTTCAGACTTTCCCAGTGAATACATCTCCTGATCTTCTGGCATCAAGTGTCCTGACTGTGGATCCAAGTGAGACAACTTCCATCTTTTCTCCAGCTATCATCACGCTGCCTGTTGGTCAGCTGTAAGTTGGTTCCAGCTCGAGTCTACCTAACAACAATAACAATCACAACAAATTGCTTTGCTAAGTGATGTTTCTGAAGTTCTGGTGGCTGAGTGGTAAGGAGCTGCCTTGCCTCTCTTTAGTTCAAATACAGCAGCTGCTCTGGCAGAAGGGGGAGTGTGTGAAAAAAAGAGACAATCTCCTCCTGTGCTATTTACAGACCCTGAAAACCTGTCCAGAGGGTCAGTGGTGAGTCACTTCTGACTCAATGCAACCCAGGAAAAACAACAAGTATTTTGGTTAAGAAAACAGACATTGTGTTGTGACTGAAGATCACCACAGGGGGCATCTGTAACTGTAATCCTTCACTCAAAAGATGAACAAAAATGTAAATATGAGTCTATAATTTAAAGCGGGACCCTTCACTCAATTACCCAAATAAGGAAGACTGATCTTTGACTATCAGCTGCAGCGGACAAAAATCTATCACCTTCGGGGCCTGCACGGAATTTAAACCACCTATCAATAGAGCTAAGTCGGTCCTAGAAATGAACTTACTTTGACACATCGAGTAGAAAGTCATTCAGTTCTGTCTGTTTGGCAAGACCTCTGCAGACCTTAAGGAGAGAAAAAGAGCAGTTAATTCTAAGTAAAAACAGCTTAGTTAAGAAAGAAATGGCTAGGATTCTATTTGGTTTATTTACTTTAAAAGGCCTGGCATAGCTATGATCTGTCAAGTAACAATAATATTAAGGGAAAAAAACCCAAGAAATGAGTATTTATTGGACCTTAAATCTACAAAGCCCTATTTAAAGCAATCTGAACAGTCCTCAGCACATTTAAACGCTATCTAATTTAACTGCTACAACAGATTATGAGCTTGTCATTTAAATCCTACTAAAGCATGACAATTTTATGCTTCTAAAGGACTTCGTCAAGAAGAACCTCGTTCCTATTGCAGAGTCAGAGAGAAGCAGGCAGAATTCAGGCACTCTGGTCACAGTGTTCGGTGGCTAACTAAAAGCCGGTTACAAGCCACCAGGCACCCGAGGAACAAGCCGTGACAGGTGACTTGCAGAAACATAGTCTATGGGGGAAGTTGAACTGCTCTGGCCTGCAGGGTCACCGTAAGCCCGAGTGGACTTGAGAGAAACAAGTTCGCTCTGAGGTTTTCTGAGCCAGAATTAGGACTCACACAGGCCATCTCTAGAGTCAAACCTGATCACCACTTTAAAACTAACCTCTGAAGGGAGCGGGATGTCTTGGAGACTAATTTTCTCCTATGTCACTGTGTGGAGTGGGAGCTTTAAGAAATGGTGTGGCAGAAATACTAACGAAATCCTTGGTGGGAGAATGTAGCTGGCCCTTCAGTGGAAAAGCCATACCAAAATAGGGAGGACCCACCCATTACTGTGAGCATGACGTAAAATTACATATAAACATAGAAAAAGATACAAGAAACTTAAGTTAGGCTATATGCAAACGTAAGTGAGTAAACATAGTTTAAAAAACATCAAGTATACGGAATATTATACAAAATAGGTGACCCTTGAGGACATTATGCTCAGTTGCACAATATCTCAGTCACAAAAGGACAAATACTGCATAATGCCACTGTTATAAAACAGGACTGGCATTGGGTTTGTGGGGAAACTAAGAAAAGCAGGGATAAATAATGTACACTGCACTGAAACAGACGAGGAAGAGAACTATTTAAAAGGGATATATGCTTAGGTGTTATTTGCATGACTAGAGTCCAGAATAAGAACTGCATAGTAAAGTGGACTGGGGAGGGGGGATTATATAACAATGAAAGAATTTTTTTTTCTTTTCAAAGAGAAAAGCAAACTTGGGGGGAGGGGTGGGCAGGGAGGATAAGGTACAACAATGAATGAGTGAATGCAAATCTAAGTTCTCTATAAACTTTCATTAAAAATCTCAATTAAAAAATTATAAAAAAGAAGAAAAACAACAAAACATCAAATATATAGAAAATATTCTGTTGCCCCCAGCCTCCCTCGCAGCCCCCAGTCATGCCCCCTAAACAGCTGCTCCCCCCAGCAAGTCTGTAGGGATGTCATGGAGACCCACCTGCACCTGGTGTATCGCCACTGAAGCCCAGGCTAGGTTCGCTGTTGCAACCTGAAACAAGGAAACACAAGCAGTGAGAGTGTTTCGCTGAGTGAACCCAGGCAGGGAAGCTGGCAGAGGACGCTGAGTGAATGTGCACGGGGACTGTCTGCAGGCCACTGGCCACAGGGCGTTTTACACAGTCTCCCACATACAGAGTGCCTTGTATGTATTTACAGGATTTTTCTATTTCTCCTTCCTACATCCTTGAGACCCACCCATTCTTGTTCTGCCAACAGAAGCAAGATAACGTGATGGTTAAGAGCAACCAAGGGCAATTAATTTTTGGATAAATATTATTTGCCACTTTATAAAAATGTCACCAAAATTGCAGCAATGATCACTTTAAAATTATTAAATATTTCTAAAAAGTAAAAGGATGTTTGTGTGCAGCTTTTCCATGCTGAGACCCACAGCAGGGAAGTGACTGTATCCGCGGCAAGGAAAGGCCGGTCAGCACAAGACCGGGGCCAAATGTGAAGAAACCATTTGACCTCATTCAAGTTCAAGATGAAGATAAAGTGAGAAGTGGAGCTCGTGACGGAAAACACTGAAACAGATGAATCAGAACGCGTCTGAGCAGGAGGTGTCTCCTCAAAGCCACGTCTATGGCAAGGACGTGGACGAGGTAAAGCTTCACACTCGGTCAAGGACCTTCCTTTGCTGATATGGCAAACTCACAGTGGGAAATGTAATGGGAAATGCAAACATCAAAACGAACTGAAACACAGAATGTAAGAAGTACAAATCTTGGAAAGTGGAAGTTGTCAAAAACGAAATGGAACACATAAAGACCAACAGCTTACACGTTAGTGAGCTGAGAGGGACTAGGACTGGCCATTCTGTATCACCACAGCATCTACAATGCTAGGTATGGACAAACAGGAGAGGAATGGTGTTACTGTATCGTTCCATCTCATCCAGGGTCTTCCTCTCCTGCACTGTCCCTTCACTCTTCTGAGCATGATGTCCTCCTCCAAGGACCAGTTTCTCCTGGTCACGGGCCCACAGTATGTGAGACAGAGCTTCAAAATCCTAGCCTCCAAGAAGAAAAATGGTTTCACCCTCTCCAAGACAATTACTTATATGCAAGTTCAAATTGAAGATCAAGAAAATTAAAATAAGTCCACAGAACCACAATGTGACCCTGAGTGTATCCCAAATGAAATGATAAACCATTTTAAGAACAGATTTGAGATACTGGAGACCAATGAACCAGACCACTTGTGCAATGGCCTCAAGTACCACACCCCTGAAGCCTGGAGGAAAGAAAGTCATTACAAATACAGGGAAGGAAGGACGGACCAACCAAAGCGGGGATTGGGAGAGACTCTGAAACTGGAAATGGCATGAAATGAAGTCAGAACCAGGGGAAGGAATGGTGAGGTGAGAGAGCTGAAGAGGAGATTCCAGAAAGCAGCTTGAGAAGACAAAGCGAAGTAAAAAGAAACGTACAAGGAGGTAGAAAACGACAAGGGAACAACAGGCTCAGCGTTTCTCAAGCTGAAAGAAGTAAAGGAAAAAAAATTCAAATCTTTAGTTGTAGTGCTGAAGGAGTCTACGGACAAAATCTTAAATGGTAGAGAAGCATAAAAAAAAAGAAAAGAGAAAGAAAAGATGGAAGCTATACAGTTACTGTACCAAAAAGACTTGGCTGCCGCTGAACCATTTCAACAAGCAGCCTATGAACTAAAACCCAACAGGACTGAAGGAAAGAGTTAACACAGCTGCACTGAAGGTATTGGCAGAAAATCAGGCCTCCGGGACTGACGGACACCACCTGAGGTACAGCGGGAATCAGATGCAGCCCTGACGTGCTCACAGACTCTGTCAACAAATATGGGAGGCAGCTACCTGGCCAACCAACTGGAACAGATCCACACCTGATCCCATTCCCAAAAAGGGTGATCTGACAGAAAGCAGAAATTACTGAATAATATTATTAGTATCATATGCAAATAAAACCATGCTGAGGATTATTAAAAAATGGCTAGAATAGTTAGTCAACAACTTTAAAAAACCGAAGCTAGATTCAAAAGAGACTGTGGCACAGGGAATATAATTGCTGGTGCCAGGTGGGCTTTGGCTAAAAGCAGAGACTACCAGAAAGATGGTTATTTGTGTCTTATTGACTATGCAAAGCCATTTAACTACATTAATCACTAAAAATTATGGTTAATATTAAGAAGAATGAGAATCTCAGAAAACTTAATTGTACTTACCCAAAACCTGTATCTAGACCAAGAAGCAGTTGCCCAAACAAAACAAGGGAATAGTACACGGTTTTAAAAAGGGAAAGTACGTGTCAGAGTGTGTTCTTTTCCAGACCTATGCAATCTCTATGTTGAACAAATCATTCAAGAAGCTGGTCTATCAGAATGTGGCACCAAGTTTGGAGGAAGACTCATCAAAACCCAGGGCCCTGCAGATGATGACACAACCTGAAAGTGAAGACGACTTGAAATAATGTTTTTTGTTGTGTTGTTATGTGCCATCAAGTCATCTGCAACTCATAGCAACTCTATGTACAGCAGCTCTGAACTCTGCCCTGTCCTGAGCCAGTTTCACTAATTTTGACATGCCAACCCCCATTGCCCCAGTTACTGTGTCAATCCATCTCATCTAAGTCTTCCTCTCCTGAGCTGTCCCTCCACTCCTCTGAGCATGATGTTCTGCTGCAAGGACTGGTCTCTCCTGGCCATGTGCCCACAGTATGTGAGACGGAGCTTCAAAATCTTAGCCTTCAAGTAGAAACTTAGTTTTACCCTCTCCCAGACAGACCTCATTTTTTTTCTTAGTGGTCCATGATATGTTCCAGACTCTTCTCTGGCACCACAACTCGAAGGCATTCATTCGTCTTCTGTCATCCACAGTCACTGTCCAGCTGTCTGATGCACAGCAAGTAATTATGAAGACCGTGACCTGGATTAGGCATAACTTAGTCTCTAGACTGAGATCATTGCTTCTCAGCACTCTGGAGAGGTCCCTGACAGCAGATTTTCCCAATGCAATTAGTCTTTTGAGCTGAGCAAGCTGTACTTGTTGACAACCTCAGTCTCTCCTCCATCTGTCATGGTGCCACCAATTGGCCCAGTGGTGAGAATCTTAGTCTTCTTGATGATGCACTTCAATTCATAATAAAGACTAAAGTCCTTGACCTTCTGCAGTAAGTGTTTCAGGTCCTCCTCAGTTTCAGTGAGCAAGGTTGTGTCATCAGCATAACATTGGTTGTTAATGAGTCTTCCTCCAACCCTGATGCCACGCTCCTCCTCATAAAGCCCTGCTTCCCCAATGATCTATTCTGCATATAGATTGGAAAGGTATGGAGACAGGCTGCATCCCTCACGTGCTCCCTTTCTGATTGGAACCACGCATTGTTGCATTGCTCTGTTCTGAGGACGGCTTCCTGGTCGAACTACAGGTTTTGCATAGAGACACACAAAAAAATCTAAGACAAAAAGTCTTCAATACAGGTTACTTTTCAATAACACAAAGACAAAAATCCTTACTAGTAGAACAAGAGGCAGCATTATGATAAAGATGGAAATTATCAATGGTTTCCTTTCAGTTGGATCCACAATCAACAAGCATCATAAAATCTATCAAGAAATTAAAAGACGTGTTGCCTTGGGGAACTATCCTGTCAAGGACCTCTCCAAAGTTCTAAAGAGCAAAGAAGCCAGTGGAAAGGCTACAGAGCCCCTCATCAAGCTCAGGTCTTTTCAACTGTTTCCTGTGCTTACGAAAGGTGAGGAATGCTTAAGGACAGAAGAAGAATCCACACCTTTGAACTGAGGTGCTGGAGAAGAGTACAGATCAAACTGCCAAGAGGACAAACAAATCTGGGGTTTTATTTTCACTCATCTTGATGAAAGCATACAGAGACTTTGGACTTCCATTCATTCACTCTTACACTTGGGGGAAGTACAACCATGGTACTCCTTAAAGTCAAGGATGGTGAAACTTCATTGCACTTACTTTGGGTACATTCTCAGGGAAAAACAGTCTTTGGAGAAAGACATCATGCTTGGAAAGGTAACAAGAGGGCTGTCAAAACAGAGAAAGACCTGATACAAGCCAGACTAACGTGGTGGCTACCACACGAGGGATCAGGGGGAGGCAGGCGGGACAAGGCTCCGATCTCGCTCCTAGGCTCACGAGGAGTCACGGCTGACTGGACGGCACCCGACAACATGGCCCAGTACTTCATCTCTTAGGAATGTGTCCTAGAGACGGAAGATCTGTGACACCAACACATCCCTGTGCACCTGTGGTCATCATCGCACTATTCACAGCAGTGAAAGACAGAAGTAACCTAAGTGCCCATCCAGAGATGACAGGTGACCAACAAGTGCATACACACACACACAACTGAATCAGCCATGTGAAGAACAGTGATGGACCCATGAAACAGCTACCTCAGAAGGTGACAAGCCTGGAGACGTGCTGACGAAGGAAGTCAATGGCAAAGGGGGAGTGTGGTGGTTCAATACTGCAGGGAGGTAAGAAAGGGTTTTCATGCAGAAAAGAACCATCACTCCGCAGTTATTTGGTCAAAGGAATGAACTAATTTGTCCCCGACGGAGCACAGGCAGGATGTTCTTCAGAAGCAGGGACGGTGGGATGTTCAGAAGGCAAGTCCCTGGAGAAGGTCATCACAGTTGGAAAACGCGTGTCAGTGAAGGAGAGGAAGACTCTCACGGAGACGAGGCGGCACAGTGATGGCAGCAAGAGGCCTACGCACGGCGGAGATGGCGAGCGTGCCCCTCTCCTCCCAAGGAGAACCAGAGGGACGCGGAGCGAGCTGGGGGCATGGAGCAGAGGGCACCCGATGTCATAACACACATACGCTCTGAACAGGAATCAAACGTGCTCGTAAACCAGAACTGGATACTTCACGTCGTGGAAGACATTGCCACCTTTCTAACTAGTATCCTCTCTACACAACTGTTCCAGAAAGACTAGAAAAGCATCACTATTCACATCAAAACCTTGTGAAGTACATGCAATTTTAAATATTTATTCGTTCAGGACATGTATCAGCACCGTCCAAAGGGAAGAGTCCAGCGAAGGCCTGAGGGCGCCACGGTAAGGCCTCACCTCCTGGTGGCTGAGACAGAAGGCGTCCTTGCCCCAGTGCCGGTACAGCTCCAGGATGCCGATCAGGTCCCCGATGGCCGTGACGATGGGCAAACAGAGAACCGACTGGATCCGCGTCCCTGACTCCAATCCCGTCCCCCTTGGAAACCGTTCGTCCTGAAAACCAATGTGGAAAGACAGTTGAGGAAATGGGAATGTGACGCCGAGAATTCTGATTCGTATCAACGTCCCTGATGTAAATGCTCCCAAGTGCAAATGCAGGGAAAGGAGATGATGCAGTATCCTCTGTCGTTCTTGCTGATTGCTGTCGAGTCAAGCACGACTCATAGTGACCCTATGAACAAAAGACCTGAAACCCTCCTACAACTATCGTCACTTCTCAAAGTTCATCGAGCTTCCCGAGGCGTGTTGTTTAAGAAGCAGACGCCGCGACTGTTGGGCACTTTCCTCCAGGACATTTGACAGCCTCTAAAACCTTGCTGGAGGATCAGCTGTAACTTGGTTCCAACTCAACAGTAATGAGCCGAGTTGTTGGCTAAGAATAATACCAAAGCCTTTAATTGAAATTCAAAAGCACATGTCATTTTTTAATAGCCTGTTAATAATTCTCTATCATAAGAAATGCTATTAGTCTAATAATTTCATAGCTCAGCAAAACCACTGAGGTACAGAAAAACTACAACTAATGAAAAGAAAATAATATTATTATTTAAATTCTATTATTTGTAAGAACCTATTGGGAATGAGAACTGTTTCTTGATCAAGAATAATACAAATCTTTAGTTGCAATTTAGGTATCTTTTGACAACTTGCATATACAAGAGAACATTTTCAAATGGAATTTTTAATATACAAGATCTACTATAAGCAACCTTTTACTAATAGTTATCTGATTTATTCAATGTACTGCAGACCATCTGTGGCACAGTCAAAATTGAAACTCAGGTTTCACAGCTTCAATTTAATGCTTTTTCAAAGAAAATCTACTCTACCTGAGTATGCTTGGATGCATGGCATGTTAACAGACCACATATCATTAGGGGAAACGTCATTAAAATATCTTCACACACCACAGAAGACTGGCAAACCTGTTAGTCTGTTGACTCTGATGCAACAGGAAAGAGTAGGACTGCTCTACAGGGTTTCTGAGTCATAAACTTTATTTACAGAACACACCGCCTTATCTTTCTCCTGGAGAGCAGACAGTGGCTCAAGCTGCCAATCTTCCCACTATCAGGCAAGCACTGAGCTCAAATCCATCATTAGTTCAAATGGCGCAAAGATAGGCCGTCTGTTCCAGGAGATTCACGGTCCTGGAAATCCAATGGAGCAGCACGATGTGTCGGAAAATTTCACTCCATGACAATTTCTCTTTCCCAAAATCCTGACGGATGTGTCAGCTACACCTTTCTCCCTGGGAGTGGCAGGGAGGCTCAAACACTGATCTTCTACGTCACAGCTGAGCACCTAACCACTATGCTACTAGGGCTCCTTGCAAACTGCACACACTTTGTCACATCTCCTTCCACCCATACCCTCTGGAGGTTCCCTCGTCTCTGACTTGGGAAGGTGCACTCTGGGGTCAGGGGAAAGATAGTAATCTCGAGCATTTCAGTACTCCCTGTCTCGGACCCCAGGCGCCGTGAGGAGAGCATGGTGGGACAGCCCGACAAGAGGAATGTGGGAACTGATCCCGTCAACTTTAACATCAGACTCAACCCCGGTCATCCGGCCAGATGACCCTGGACGTACAGAGCAGCTTGCTGGTGGATCTCTGGAGAAGGGCCCTTGGCTGTGAGGACAGTTTTATTACACCATGGAGGCTGGGTGTTCTGGCACGCAGGACTAGCTCATTCATTCACATACACCTGCCAGGACAGGAAACCAAAAGCAATCGTCATTTCATGTACTTGGCTCCACGTGCACCTTTTCCGAGCTTACCCACACCAGCGTACATGAAGGCAGGGACTGCAGAAGTCTGGTCCCTAGTGGTCATACGAGAAACTCTGGGCTAGGGGTCGAAGTCACACACAAAATCATTTCCCCATCTCCACTGCGCTTTGATCCTTTTAAGTAATGAAATGCGTTCATAAAATTTTTCTTCGTTGAACACTTAGGTGAAAAATAACAAGAGTTAAATAAGTTACAGTTAAATCCTGCTGACCCCCAGGATGTCCTCCACCAGCAGCGTCTTCCTGGACTTGGCCACGTAAGCAGACACAGTGGTGCCCTGGGTGATGGGTCCCGCGGGGATAAGCCGTGGTTTCCCCTCCTTCACGCCAGGTGGTGTGAACACACAAAGGCTCTAGGAAGAAAGACAAGGCACATTACAGAATCCCTAGCACACATGCACAACACCACCAAAAAGGGCAAAGGGATCTGTGAGCTGAGGAAAAGAAACCATAACTGCCACCCAAGCAGATATATGCACACCCATGTTTACTGCGGCTTTGTTCACAATAGCAAAGATCTGGAAACAACCCAAGTGCCCATCAACAAATGAATGGATAGAGAAGCTCTGGTATATTCACAAAATGGAATACTACACAGCATTGAAAAACAAGGAACTCATCAAATATACAAAATGCATGCCCTGGAGGACATTAGGGTGAGTGAAATATCTCAGTCACAAAAGGACAAATATTGCATAGAGCCACTGTTGAGGGAAGGCAGAGAAGGAGGGGAGAAATGATATATACTGCATTGAAACAGATGAGGGAAGAACTGTTTAAAAGGGATATAGGATTGGATATTATTGTCATGTCAGGAATCCAGAATGAAGGCTGTACAGTGGAGAGGACCTGGAGGGAGGGATTACATAACATTGAAAGAGGTGTTTTGTTTTGTTTTTTCTCTTTTACTTTTCAAGGAAAAGAGTGAATGGGGGGAGGCGTAGGCAGGGAGAAAAGTGCAACAATGAATACACGAAAACCCTAAATCTCTGTACACTTTCATTAAAATTAATTTTTTTTAAAAAGGGGGGAAAAATAAACACACAAGGAGAAAAGCCCCTTTGCAAAACACTGTAATGACTGGACTCAGGTATCTGAGCTGACGTTAGTCCTGATTCTCATACAATGCAGGTAAAAGGAAGGTTTCAGGTAATTGTGCGACATTTTAAACCAATCCCACTGCTGCAAATTCAGTGTAGATTCATGATAAATGTGCAGGGCAGAACAGAGCTGCCAAAGAAGGTTTCTGAGGTTGTAAGTCTTTGCAGGCACAGGCGCCCATCTCTCTCCTCAGGTAAAAGATGGTGGGTTCAAACTGCTGAATATTCTGTTAATCCACAGAGCTAGATACAGGAAAATACCTTTTAAAAACGTCTTGTTTTAAGACATAGAACATATTACACTGGGGGGGGGGAGGTACTCCGTAATTGAGTCTAAGACGATGTAATTTCAGAGACAAACACCGTGCCCTGTCTCCCTGTAAACTTTGTTACTGTCATCGAGTCCGGCAGGATCCATAGTGACCCTGTGAACAACAGATCTGAACCCCATCCTGTCCTGCGCCGTCCTCACACCTCCCGACACACTGGAGCCCACTGCGGCAGTCTCCTCTAAAAGGGTCTTCCTCTCCTTATTGACCTTCCGCCACTCTGAGCCTAATGTCCCTCTCTGAGGAATAGCCTCTCCAAGTAATATGCCTGAAGTATGTGAGGTGAAGCCTCATTATCTTTGCTCCAGAGAGCACTCCAACTCCAGCCTCTCCAAGGCATGCTTGTTTGTTCTTTTGGCCGACCGTGAGATGTTCACTGCTCTTCTCCAGCACCACAGCTCAAAGGCATCAATAGCTCTTCTGTCATCCTTATTCACTGTCTCGCTCTCAGATGCATAGCAAGTGAATGGAAGTACCATGGCCTGAATCAAACACACATTAGTCTTCAAATTGTATCATTAATCCAATAATTTAAAGAGGTCCCTAACTGCAAACTTTCCTAGTGCAAGATGTCTCCTGATTTCCTAACTGCTGGTACCAAGGGTGTTAAACGTGGATCCAAGTAAGTTGGAGTTGCTGACAACGTCAATCTTTTCTCCATTTTTTATGACATTACCTATCAGTCCAGTGGTAAGAATCTTTGTTTTCTTGATATTGAAACGCAATCTATACTGAAGGCTGTAGTCTTTGTTCTCCTGCAAAAAGTGTTTCAGGACTTCCTCCTTTTCAGCAAGCAAGGTCATTTGCATATCATAAGTTACTGAGTCTCCCTCTGATCCTGATTCCACATTCCTCTTCACAGAGTCTAACTTCTTGAATAATTTGCTCAGCATATACATTCAATAGGTATGGAAAGAGAATACGACCCTTAAGCACTCCCTGTAAACACCACACATTATATCCAAAGACAGAATCTGCAGGTATGAGTCAAATAAGTTTGGTTATATTTATAATTCTCATTGGTGACTCTGGTCTTACGCCACTTCTAAAGGAGGTCGCGACGAGGAGGCATCCCACTCTCCTCACTGCCTTAAAGGACGTCTTACCCACAGGAATGTCTGTACCTCTCAGAAACACCAACATCACAGGGGAGTAGTGAGGAAGTGGGTGGAGAGAAGTGGGAGGAGGCCTGAGTTATCAAACCAGGACTGACTAGGGGCCGAGGTGGGAGGTGCTGGGGAGGCAAGGAGAGGGAAGTGAACTGCATGCTAGCAGAGCACAGGTGGGGGTGGGAAGAAGACACATGAGCCTAAAGGGGTGGCAGGCGGGACCAGCACCCGATCTGTTAACTGAATAATGGCAAAGGTCTCTCCTCCGCTCTTTTGGGCGAAACACTTGTCTGTCAGATATTACTCTAGAGTAGAGTATCCAAATGAAGACAGACTACGGAAAAGGATCGGCCATATGCTTCCAAAACAACAGGCCTCAGGAAACCCTATGTGTCACGGAGCTCACTAAGAGTAGACTAGCCGATAAGGCAACAGAGGCAGAGCCTTCTTACTGGGAATCACAGAGGAGGAGGAACAGCTGCAGACAGACAGTACTGATTAGAACACAGAATGTGACAAGTAATGTAGGAAAGTTGGAGAATGTTAAGTAAGAAATGGAACATATACATATTGACATACTAGGCACTGGTGAAATGATATGAGTTGGCAGGGGACAATCTGAGTCAGGTAATCACATGATCTACTATGCTGGAAAACAAAAGACAAGGAAGAATGGGATTGTATTCATACGTAAAGACCATTTCTAGATCCTTCTTGAAATACAATGTGGTGAGTGACAGGATAATATCCAAATGCATGTAAGGAAGACCTGTTAATACCACTATCATTCAAATATATGCACCAATAACCAGCTTTTGCAGTCAGAAACCAATCAAACAAGCAAGAATGATACTTTAATAATGAGCGACTGGAATGCAAAACTTGGGAACAGGAAAGAAGGATCAGAAGTCAGAAAGCATGGACTTAGTGACAGAAATGATGCTGGAGACAGAATGACAGAATTCTGTACAATCAATGACCTTTTCATTGCAAATACCTTTTATAAGAAACATAAATGCAATCTATACATGTGGATTTCACCTAATGTTCTACATGGGAATCTGAATGATCTACTAACTCTAATAGTGGTTTTGTTGTTGTTGTTGTTGTTGATTCTCTGACATTTTCTATGTACACTAGCATATCATCTGCATATGTTGTTGTTGTTATGTGCCGTTGAGTCGTTTGCGACTCATAGCGACCCTATGTACAACAGCCATAAAGCCTGCCCTATCCTGTGCCAATCACATTGTCTCTGACACTCCCATCCCGATTACCCCGTCACTGAATCAATCCACCTCATAGAGGGTCTTCCCCTCTTGTGCTGTCCCTCCACTCTACCCAGCATGATGTCCCTCTCCAAGGACCTACCCCTCCTTACAACATGTCCAAAGTATGTCAGATGGAGCTTCAAGATCTTTGCCTCCAAGGACTAGCCTGGTTTAACCCTTTCCAGGATGAATCTGTTTGTTTTCTTGGCAGTCCATGGTACATTCAATACTCTTCTCCAGCACCACAGCTCAAAGGCATCAATTCTCCTTCTATCCTCCCTAGTCATTGTCCAACTCTCTGATGCATAAGAAGTGATAGAAAAGACCATGGCCTGTATCAGACGCACCTCAGTCTCCAGAGACACACCGTTGCTCTTACCATTTAAAAAAAAAAAGGTGACCCCACAGCCCCACAGTGTGGAAATTATCAAATAGTATCACTTATGTAGGGTAGCAATGAGTCGCAGGCAACTCAACGGCACATAACAACAACAACAACAATCACTGATATCACATGCAAGTTAAGAGCCTGCTGAAGGTGATATAAAAATGACTGGTAAAGTACATTAACAGAGAACTGCCAGATGTGCAGGCTGGGTTTAGAAGAGGCCATGGTACTAGGGATATTATCGCAGTCAATGTTAGATGGATCTTGGCTGAAAGCAGAGAGGTCCAGAGGAATGTCTATGTGGGTTTCATTGAGTATGTAAAGGCATTTGACTGTGTGGATCACAAAAATTGTGGCAACCCTTGAGAATGGGAATCCCAAAACAATTACACTCATGCAAAATCTGTATGAGAACCATGAAGAAGTAGTCAGAGCACGGAAGTACTGCATGCTTCAGGATCAGGAAAGGTGTGCATCCGGGATGCATCCTAGCTCCATACCTTTTCAATCTATATGCAGAATAGATCACTCAGGAGACTTTATGAAAAGGAATGTGACACCAGGACAGGAGGAAGACTCATCAATAACCTATGTTATGCAGATGACACAACCTTGCCTGCTGAAACTGAGAAGGACATGAGGCGCTTGCTGCAGAAGGTCAAGGACTGTAATCTCAATATGGATTGAAACTCAACATCAAGAAAACAAAGGTTCTCACCACTGGGCCAACTGCCAGCTTCAGAACAGACAGAGAAGAAACTGAGATTGTTAGTAACTTCAGTTTCTTTGGTTCCGCAATTACCACTCTTGGCACCAGCAGTCAGAAAATCAAAAGATGAACAGCACTGAGAAAGTCTGCTGTCAGGGACCTCGCTAGAGAACTGAAGCGCAACAATGAGAATATGGAGACTAAGGTGTGCCTGATCTGTCATGATCTTTGCGGTCACCTCCTCTGCATCAGAGAGCTGGACAATGAATAAGGATGACAGGAGGAGGACTGATGCCTTTGAGTTGTAGTGCTGGAGAAGAGTGCTGAACACACCGTGGAGGACTTGAACATACGTGCCAGGAGGTATGAACATACACATCACAAAAACGAAACATTTATGTCTTGGAGAGGGTGAAACCAAACTGCTCCCTGACATGAGAATTTTGG